CATATCAGCAGTTTGAATCCAACTCAAATATATACTGTATGTTAACCCTAACCCATTCCATTCTAATGACTGTTAATATCTGTGTGTGTAGAGAAGGCCGTGTTTCGGCCCTCTGATGAGGCCGTGTTCACCACGCTGGGAGTCAACACTCACCTGTTTGCTTGTGAACCCTCTGAGCTCGAGTCCCTGGTGAGGAACTGATTGATTGACTGATTGATTAATTGATTGATTGATTGACCATAGGTTTGAAAACATCCTTGTTCGTGTTGGTATGTTTGTAATGTGATGTCACTTCCTGCTTGCTCAGCTTCCTCTTCCCGAGGAGATCCACTGGACGCCGGGGGACAGCAAACTCCACGACATGTCGGCGGAGGAAGTTGCCAATCAGCTGGTGGTGTTTGACTGGGAGCTGTTCAGCTGTGTGCACGAGGTCAGTGACCCCGTCAGTGACCCCGTCAGTGACCTCAGACTGCTGAGTCATTCACATTCAAACCCTCAGAGACTCAAATGCTTTATTCTGAAGGAGAAACATGAAGCAGGACTTTATGATCGTCTGTTGATTGTTAGACTGAAGATAATTAGTGAGTAAAAACTAATTCTTTGTACTGATTAAGTCCTGGTGTTCTTTGTTCTGTTCTTCTTCGTTGGTGTATCCTGCAGGTGGAGTTCGTGTGCTATGTGTTTCACGGGGAACAGTCCCGCTGGCGCCCCCTGAACCTGGAGCTGGTACTGCAGCGCTGCAGTGAGGTGCAGCACTGGGTCGCCACAGAGATCCTGCAGTGTCAGTCGCTGCCAAAGAGGGTCCAGCTGCTCCGCAAGTTCATCAAGATCGCAGCACTGTGAGTCTGGATCACGTGACCCACTCACTCTACCCGTGCTTCGTTAGCAGTCTGAATGAGAGAGTCCGGGTCCTAACGGTTTTCTGTCTCTATTCCAGCTGTAAGCAGCAGCAGGACCTGCTGTCGTTCCTCGCTGTGGTTCTGGGTTTAGACAACCCCGCCGTCAACAGACTACGACTCACCTGGGAGGTACGACACTCGCCTGACGCTGCTCCACGTCACCTTACCTGCAGCAACAGCCAACACTCAGTGACAATAATCATAAATAATACATTGATTTCACTCATTAATTTCAATGTAATCACCAAGAACATCATAAAAGTGTCCAATATGTCTTTGAACCAGATCTTGGTTATCGTAGTTTTCTAACCCTTTTAGAAACAGGACAAATATTCCTGAATATCAAATGTTGTACTGAGCTTAAAGATCAGCCACGGACTGTAATGAGCCTTAAAAGTACAAATGGAAGCGAGTTGTGTTTATTATAAGTAATGAATTGAAGTGTTTGCTCACATTATTGAACTGTTATTAGTTATTAAACAACTTTTTACCATCATTTTAGAAAGTGTTTCACTACAGAACAACACCAAATTAGAGGTCTGCAGATCAGCACAGACCCACTGATCAATACACAGTTTTATCAGCTGTCTGCAGCCGGATGTAATGATCTGTGTGTGTGTGTGTGTTCAGGGGCTCCCGGGGAAGTTCAGGAAGCAGTTTCAGCAGTTTGAGAGCGTCGCGGTGAGTAACTCTGATCTGATCATCATTGTGTGAGACGTTCAGAGGTCAGAGGTCAAATTACAGCAGCACCGTGTCAATAATCAATTAATTATATTAATATGTCTTACAGGACCCATCCAGGAACCACAAGTCCTACAGAGACCTGATCACCAGCCTGAGACCTCCGCTGATCCCCTTCACACCTCTGCTGCTCAAAGGTGAGACTGAGCTACATGCTAACAGCAGACGTTCACACTACACAACTTCCTGTC